CATGCAGTGTTTCCTTTTTCTGTTCTGATGACTGCCTCCTGGTCCCAGTATAGGTTTCGCGTTAGAATGAGGATCTCTGGTAGCCTAGTGGTTAGGAGTTGTGGTGTCACTCCAAAAGCATGAGGTTTTAAACCACCAGCCATTCCATGGGAGAAGGATGGACAATCATCTCCTTGCATGTGAAAAACCACAGAAGAGAGAATTATGAGTCATTTCCAACCTCATGGTACACAACTACTAGACAGACCATGTCTGGTATGAGAATTTTGACTTCCTCCTTCCTTGTGATTTCTTCTGAAGTATTCATTGTGTGCGCATGTCCTCAATTCCTACAACTAAGTTGGCATATGTATTTATCTTTTTAAATCCTTACTGAGAATGAAGTCGGGTCAAGAAAAACAGAATGCTTTCTTGTTGATCTGTGGAGTGTCTGCTTTTAGACTTGGAAGCAAGTACAGCATTGTATTCTTTTACACATAAAATTGTATTTATTGGAAAGGAAAGTGTGTTTTAATTAAATCTAATCTAAAGCTATTCTTCTGCAGGAGCTACTTCAGCACTGACAGTGCTCTCAGCTGCATAAACTGCATCATCATCCTTGTTCACTGAAATCTTGACTGAAGTATTTACCTAAGCCTGATGATTAATGCAGAGACACAACTGTATTAGAAAATGAGGTAAAACCAAGGAAACCAAAATCAACCTTGTTTATAAAAATAAAGCACAACCGAAATGCCATTGTTATTAACAACATGAGGAAATCATCATTGGTATCTCCTATTTTATTGCCAAATTCATTCTCACTCTTGCCTACCAACTTTTAGAAACAATTTGCTGTTGTACTGAGATTTGGAAGGTGAAATGAATAGAATATGAGCTGCACAGCTGTTTACGGTTTTGGTTTATAGCTCTGGGACATCCCATTCTGGAGGCATTCTGTTCCAGTTCATTTTAGCAGTAATTAGAAGTACCCCCATAATGGGGAACTTGCTGTTGGAAACAACTTCATTAGTTTGGGTGATTTTATTGGTTTCCTTTAGGGTGAGGAACTAGCACTAATAGTTGTAATTTAATAGGAAAATTAGCGAAGCAAGAACGATTCCACTGCATCTTAAGTGAGGCAGAAGGCAGAAGTTTCCTTTGCAAATAATGGAATATAAAAGAACAGTGGTTACTGAAAAGAATTCATATGTAAAATCATATAAATTGAGAAAAAGCATATAAATTGGTATAAATGAGGCATTTGGTTAAATGCTTAAAAATTATTTTTATTAAAAAGTAGATTCCTATAATAAAAAATACAGTGCAGGTGAAAATGGCATGAAGTAAAAATATAAGGCATTTTCCTCCATTTTTAAAATAAGGTAAGTCCACAAATCTGATTTGTAAACTCTCTCCTCCTTTAGATAGAGGGTCAGTCATTTTTTTCTAAGACTGCTTTTTGCTCACATTTCCATTATTTTATTTTTCCCTTCATTTTCTCACCCATCAGTTCCCTAAGTAGCAACAGTTTCTTTGTCATGAAAAGGATTAATGGTTCAATATTATCACCTCTGGTACATACATGATTCTCTATCTGCAAAGCACTTTATAATCATTTAGGAATCTTTCCTCCCACTTCCAATGCAATGTGGCTCAGCATTACTTTCAGCATTTTAGGAATGACAAAGTAGACCCAGAGGAATCTGCCCACAGCTTCAAAGCAAATTAGCAGCAAATTAACCATTTGAGATTTGAACTTCTTTTTTTTCTTGAAGATGGCACCATGACACTTCCAGGACTTGGAAATAGCATGCATTTGTTATAAAGGAGGAAATGTTTTTGATTTGTGAATATATGGAGGTCATAATGCCTGGGTCCTAAAAGACAGCAGCAAGGATAGGAGAAAATTTTTATTTTTACTTCAAACCAATCCTCTGAGGTACAGAAATGATAGCCTCATCTAGGCAAAGGAAGACTTCAATATGTACAAGTTGTAAACTAAATAGTATAGCGATCTCATCTCTCATGGTAATATTAATAGCCAAGTACATAAACAATGACTGCTTCTGATCAATTTTCCATAAATACTGCTTGAGTAAATATTGGTCAAATAAATAAAATGACATAGTTAATGTTGGTGATTTTCAGTATCGAGTTTAGCAATCCCACACTTTTTTGCAGAGTGGTGTTTAACATTCTTCCTTTTATTCTACATTTTATGCTCCAAATCACTCCTCTACACAAAAGCCCATCTCCATCTTCCCCCTCCTTGTCTCTACTAGATGAATTCTTACTTTAATGTCTTATATTATTTTCATGGTTCGGGTCAGCCAGCTGCTCCATAGGAGGAGAAGGGAGAGTCTCCTCTTGTACCATTTACTGCCTCTGAGAACCTGCTGGAGTGTCAGCTATAGATCAATTCCGACTAGATGTGTATAAGAGTAACATGTATTATTTTAGAGAGCTTATGGAGGTGTGGTCCATAGAGTTGCACTCTTATACCAAAAGCTGTGATTCTTTCATAGTTCAAAACCTCCAGCCACTCCACGGAAGAAAGATGGACAATTGCTCCTGTGCTACTTATAGCCTTGGGCAGTTCTGAATAGAGGGCAATGAGTTTGTATATTACTTTTGTTTTTGCTATGGGTTGTCAAGTTGGAAAGAACTCAAAGCTGACTCCCAAGAGGGTTTTTAGAGGCTGTAAGTCATGTGAGAAGTAATTGTCCATTCTTCTGCAGAGCAACTAGTAGATTCAAACCATATCTCTTTGGGTTGACAGCATAAAGCCTTACTCAGTAGGCTACCAGCGTCCCTTTTATTACTTTAAACTTATACCTTATATATTATGATACATATTTTGACATATGTATATATGCAATGATGACAGTTTGAAGATTAAGATGCACCTGATTTGAGCCATGATTTTTTTAATCACTTGCTGAGAGCTGAACAAGGAATAAGGATGACAGAAGAATTTATATTTTTGAGCTGTGTTGTTGGAGAAGCATACTGAATATCCCGTGTAGTATTTAAAAAAAAAAACCCAAAAAACAAAAACAAACCTCAAACTGATATGTCTTGGGAAAAGTGTAGCCAACATGCTCATTGGAGGCCAAGATAGTGAAGCTTTGTCTCATATACTTTCAGCATGTGCTAGGAGAGGTTATTACTTGGAAAGGGATGTCATGCTTCAAAAGATGAAGGGGTCAGCAAGAGAAGACTCTCAACCAGATTGATTAACACAATGACTGCAGTAATGGGCTCAAGTGTGTCAGAGATGATGAGAATGGCACAGGATCGGACAGATTCAGATCTTTTGTTCATAGGGTTGTTGTGAGTCATACTCAACTCAGCAGCATCTAACAGCCACAACAACAACAACATATCTATGTGTGTGTGTATTCTTCTATTGGTTCTATTCCTGTAGTAAACCTGATGAATGGACTAATATGTCATTCAAAGTATATGAGTAAACTAAGAAAAGGTCTAACAAGAAAATAAGCAATTTCACAGACACAAGTCATTCACAAAAAAACTTATATGATAATTATTTGCTGGTTTTGTTTTTGTTTTTGGTTATGTGCCATTGAGTCACCTGTGACTCATAGCAACCCTATGTACTCTATCCAGAGTCAGTCTCACTATCTCTTACACACTTACCTCCATTACTTCAGTTACTGTGTCAATGACATCTAAAGTCTTCCTCTCCTGTGCTGTCCCTCCAACCTTCACAGCATGATGTCCTTCTCCAGGGACTGGTATCTCCTATTGAACAGAAGTTCAGAGCTTGTAACTAAAGTAAGTGCCCTATGATTGGTTAACATGGTAGACCCAT